TACAGCTCCACGCTCTCGAGCACGGGAGCGTCGTACTCCTCAAAGCCGTGCAGCTGCGCCTCCCTGCGCCACGCGTCGAAGAGCCACGTGCGCAGCTCCATCTCCTCGGGATAGAAGTCGCGAGTGCCCCGCGGAGGGTTGAGGTCCAGCGCGCCCCGCCCCGCCCCGCCGCCGCCCTTCTCGCCCTGCGCCACGGCCGCGCTCTTGCGGCCCGCCGTCGCCGCCTCGCCCGCCATCATCCGAACCACGGCAGGCCGGCCGACGGCCTCCGGCCGGGCGGCGAGGCGCGGTGTGCTGCGAAGCAGCGCGGCAGGCTGCACCAGCGCGAGGAGCGCTAGCCGACGAGCCGCTGCGGGGCGTAGCGGCGCCATTTGCAAAAATTTTTTTCTTGCGGGGAGGAGGAAGAGGATGGGAGGGAAGGGAGGAAAGTAAAGAAAAAAGAAAGAGACGCCGTCTCCGCGCCGCATCGCCCCCGATTTGTATGGCGCCGCCTCTCGAGGCGCGCGTGCCTCGCGCCCCGGCTGGTAATTTCAGCCGCAAGCAGCGCGAGCTTCGCAACGGGAACCAGGCTTTCTTTTCTTTTGTGTGCTGGCCAACAAGTGTGTCCCGCCTTGCGGCCACGCCAATCGGCTCAGAGGCATATGGACGAAATCGAGCTCGCTCGGCTCGCGTCGGCACAGCCTGCCCAGCCACGACTCGATTACGACCCTGCGCCCTGCGCCTGCGCGCCGTGCTCCGCGTATCGGGCCTGCGTCTCGCCCATGTTTCTCGTCGTGTGGGGCATCGTCGCGGTCAACTACCTCCCCTACGTCGTCTGGTACCCGCTCCGCACCGCCTCGTGGTCCTGCTGCATCGTCGTCTTCCACGCGCTCGTCGGCCTGCTGCTCGCCTCGTACCTGATGACCGTCTTCACCGACCCGGGCACCGTCCCGCCCGAATGGCATCGCGCGGTCGCGGCCGACCGGAGGCTCGCCGCCGACCACCGCTACTGCACCAAGTCGGGCCTCTACCGCCCGCTGCGCAGCCACTACTGCTCCGTCACGCGCCGCGTCGTGCTCAACCTGGACCACTTTTGCCCGTGGGTCGTCAACGCCGTCGGCTTTTACAACCGCAAGTTCTTCGTGCTCTTCCTGCTCTACACCCTGCTCAGCTGCTCGTGGGTGCTGCTCACCCTCCTTCCCAGCCTCCTCGACGTCGGCGCCCTCCTCGCCGGCGACGCGCCCTCGCCGCTGCCCTCGCCGCTGCACTCGACCGCCGCTGTCAGGCACCGAGCCGTCGCCGGGCGGTCGCCGCACCCAATCAGCGGCTTCGGGTGGGGGCCGAACCGGTATATGGTGGTGGCGATGGCGCTGATGGTCGACG